GGGGCATTACCTCTTCTCCACTATGTGTGTACCAGAGGGTTGGAAACTGGCCAGTGCCCCCAAAGACTTGGCCAAGTTCAGCACTGTGGTCCAAAGTGCTGAAGACATGGATCAGGACCCTGTATGGATTGGGATTCTGTAAGCACACACCTCGGGAAAGGTGGGGAGGGGGCCCCAGATGTTCACAAAGTTCTCAGAGGCCTTGATGGGCCACCAGGAATGGTGGATATTGGAGCAGCAACCTAGCTCTGGGCCTCGATCCTCCTGAGAGAGAAAGATTCCCGGGTATCTTCAGGTTCTTCTGAGTTCAGATGTTCTTGCTGGTCCAGTGGCCAAGGGGCACCACTGCGTGGGTCTGGGCCTTGATTCGAGCTGCCCAAGTGGGAGGAGCAAGTAGGGCCAGAAGTCGAGGGGACTTTGTGTCATACTTTCTCTTCCATTCCAGGGTCTGAAGTCCGTTATGATATGTTGAAGGGTGAAAAACAAGCAACAAACAAACATGAATTTTCTGTGTTGAGGAATTTTTAATCTCATCCAGAAGATAATGCACCCTGAAAATACACCATTTATACACAATCGAGTATAAACTGAATTTGAAGTGCCAAAGAAACCAGAGCAAATGTATTACCAACGGGCTGTGGTTAACTAAGGGAGTCTGTCTGGAGTAGTTTTCTGTTTGTGGGGAGGGGTAGATTTAAGTAGTTTTAGAAGGAGGTCAAGAGCCTGGAAAACCCTCAGATCAGCTCACTTAGATTGGGAGGCCTAAGCCAGTTAAATTTCCCCCCGTGGGCGCCTGGGTGGCTCAGTTGGTTAAGCGACTGCCTTCGGCTCAGGTCATGATCCTGGAGTCCCGGGATCGAGTCCCGCATCGGGCTCCCTGCTCGGCGGGGGGTCTGCTTCTCCCTCTGACCCTCTTCCCTCTCGTGCTCTCTGTCTCTCATTCTCTCTCTCAAATAAATAAATAAAATCTTTAAAAAAAAAAAAATTTCCCCCCGTTGTGTGAAGTTCCAAAGTTCTAAGATTTCACCTGGAAAAATATATAATTTTCAAAAACAGAAGCTGAAATATTGTTATAATCTCAGTCTAAGGCTGTTCTGTAGGTAAGACATACAATAGGCTTTTGATTAAAATGGCATTGTAACAGGTACAACTAGTGAGAAAGGGTTTGAGTATTTCATAAATATGAATTTATTATATCAGAATGCACACAAGGATGTCCCTAGCACTCTGATCTGAGTCATACATAAATCATGAACAATTGTAGTGTATTTGTTTTTTCTCTAAAACACATGACAATGGACCATCACTTTTCCTTTAGAATTCTTAAGCTTCTCCGAGAACCTCACTTTGAGTACATTTGAACCACTGAAGGATGAGTGCATTTCAAAATTAAGATTATTCCATAGGATCACTCTCATTAATATGAGTGGTTATTATGAAGGGAAATAAAATTGTTTTAGCTTAACTGTAATATTCTCTATTTTCATATGTTATTTCTCATAAGCTTATTATTTGTACTCAACTTGCTTTTCCCTCTAAGTGATAAATAGTGGTTCTTTAAAATTGTTTTGCCATCTCACTTGTTAAAAACCATAATTTGTGAATAATTCTTGTAGCTTTGAAACATTTCAGGAATCATCTATATTTTTTTGGATAGAGATAATATTTATCAGATTATTCATAAGAATGATACTCATTTAGTTGGATTCAAGTGTTTTATAATGATGCCAAGAAAAAGAAAATTAAGTTGGGTCTTGACAATTTTTGCTTCAGGAATCTTAGTAGAAAATATAGACATTTCAAGTTGAAAACAAAGATAATGGAGGTTTGGGGTGGCTCCTGAGCCTTCACCTTACATGGATTAAGTTCGTTAGAAACACACTGAATGCCTGAAAAACACTGTGCAAATCCAGAGTAGCTCCTCTCTAGGTTCCCTGTAAGGATGTGACCACTTTTTTTTGACCACACATATTCTCAACTTTTACTATGTTGGCATAGATTGGAACACTGTTTTTGAAGCCTCTAAGTTAGGGTTATAAAGAAAATTGTCATTTTAAAATAAATTTTATAAATTGTTCTTCCAAGAAAGATTACAGCACAAAAGCTATTACTTTCTTTTTTTAAAGACTAAGCTTCATATGCCTTCTTTGAAGAAAGAATAAAAAATGACAGTGTGGTTTGGAACTTTGAACACTGCCTTTTACATCTCTGTATGGGGAAAATGTCCTTATAGCATCTTTTTTTTTCTTTTAAAGATTTTATTTATTTATTTGACACAGAGAGAGACAGTGAGAGCAGGAACACAAGCAGGGGGAGTGGGAGAGGGAGAAGCGGGCTTCCCGCTGAGCAGGGAGCCCGACGTGGGACTCGATCCCAGGACCATGGGACCATGACCTGAGCCGAAGGCAGACGCTCAACGACTGAGCCACCCAGGTGCCCTGTTATAGCATCATTTGAAGGAACTTAAAAAGTGTGTCTTACCATAGTGAGAATAATAAAAGCAAATACTTTTAATCCTCAGCAGTCCTCTTAGTGTGTGAGTCCCCATTGTACCCCCTGCCATATTGCTGTGTGACTTCCATTGTATAATTGTGTGACTCCCCCCTGTACAGTTGTGGGGGTTGACTCTCCATTGTATAATTATGGGATATCATCATTGTCCAGTTGTGTGATTCCCCACTGTACAGTTGTGTCTCTTCATTGTCCAGTTGTGTGACCCCCTGTTGTCCAGTTGTGTGATTTCCCATTGTCCAGCTGTGTGTCTCTTCACTGTACAGTTGTGTGTCTCTTCATTGTCCTGTTGTGTGATTTCCCACTGAACTGAGGAGAGAACCAAGGCTTAGAGAAGGGTGAGTGACACTCCCAAGAGTAGGCAAACCTGATAAATGCCAACCCCACCCAAGTCCGGTTCCAAAATCTATGCTAGCTTCTCATTCAGTTTCCAACTTCAGGGGAGACCATAAGTGGTGAGATGACAATAGTGTGAACAGAGGGGACGGAGAGGGTGGCATCAGGACAGATCCCTAAAGGACACTGTGTGGGGCCAGGGCTGGGAAGAGAGAAGGCTTCCTGAGACACACAATTAATGGGAATAATCCTCTCTTGCCCTCAGTCTGCTATGTGACTTCAAGGTGGTGGTGAGGTCTCCAGAAACCCTCTGCATACGGGGAGAATAATGCAGGTCTGCTCAACATGCTGCTACCCCTGAGAGATTTCTAGGCTAATACTTAAGTTAGCTCAGTTGACTGTGAACTGTAGATAACCCTCCTCCTCTGGAGTTTTCTGAAGTACGAATAATACCCCAGTAATAACTCAACACTTTGTGCTTCCGGTGCACACACCATCACAGGGACTTCTGATGCCTTCCTTGTGCCACAGACCCCTTTGGTACTTTGTTGAAGTCTGTGTCCCCTTCTCAGAGCAATGTGTAAAACATATATATATATAGATAGATAGATAGATACATATATATCTATATATATATGTCAGTTACAATGAAGCGCTGATATCAATAAATTAGAAATAGTAATATAATAAGTCTCCTTAGTTATTAGCACATTAAATAACAAAATCTACTGGTGAGTAGAATAAATAACGATTATTTTGAAGTAAGGAAGAACATGAATGATATTTCTAGATATCTGTGACAATGATTGCTATAAGAATATCTGTAACTTATGATGGTAACAAACAAACAACAAAGCATGGGCACTACTGAAAATGCTGTGGTTTGTCTATGCTCATGATTAAAGAAAATGCTGAATTTCAGCTGGGGGTTTAATGAAAATAAAGATGTAGTTTTTCTCTGTCTTCACAGGCTCCTTAAATCTTATCTGTACCCCATGTTATGAACTCCTGAGTCATGGTTCCTCAATTCAATTTCTATGAAAAAGCCTCTTGGGCTTTTGATTGGACTCCTAATGAATCTTTAGATCAAACTGGGGATGACTGAGACTTTAAAAATACTGTCTTCCTGGTTGTGATCACTGGAGTCTGTATTTTATGCAGTTTTGCTTTAATGTCTTTCAATACAGTTTTTATAATAATACCTATAAATGTTTTGCACAGTTTTGTAAGATTCATTCTTAGATACTTTATGTGTTTTGTTATTAGTTGCTATTCTATTTATCATCTAACCCCAGCTAGAGTTTAAAATGAAATCAGTTTTGGGATATTGAGCTATTAAGCCAGTCAGGTACTTAATTTTGGATTTTCTACCTCCACGATCGTATCGTCTGAAAGTGATGACAGTTGCTTTTTTTTTTTCCCCCAATTCTTTTAGTTTTTAAATGTTCTCTTATGTACCGATAGGACTTTGAGAGCAGCTTTCAACAGAAGCGGTGATGCCTATTAAAGTCTTCTTCCTGATTTTAAAGGAAATAATTCTAATAGTTATCCATTGAGGGGTAGTGGGCTGGAACAAACTTTTAGTAGCTAGCAAGAGCCAATCGTTAACTTTTCATGAATTTTGTAAGCCAGTTGTTAAAACACAGTCATTATTAAAGATTAAGTTATATAAAGTTACAATTAAGTAAATCATGCTAAAAACAAAGGTAAATTCTCCAAACTCACCACTTATTACTCTATTTCATGGCATCTTACTATTACCTGTGCTCTTGAGGTTATTTCGGTCTCTTGGATCTGCGTGGCGGAAATACTATAGAATGACGTGACACGTGTGAATCTCTTTCCAGTTCCATGGTTGGTGACATCACACGGACAGCTTGGAATTGCCTATGATGGGAGTATTTGCACCATGGAAGATGGCAAATGCTACCAATCAGGGCTTTAAGAGCCTGTTGTTAAACATTTACTAACACACATCTGATGGAGACTGATGTTTGCCGCAGGTTCTAGCATTTTCTTAGCCTGTTAACTAAAAAGGAAGGGAAGAAGGAAGGAGAGGAGGGAGAGTAGGAAGGAAGCAGGAAAGGAGGAAGGGAAGAAGACGGGAAAGCCTGGAGCAGGGGGTTCATCTGAATTTGGTATTTTCCGCACAGATAACTGTGATGTTCCGCTGGCGTCCACCTTGCCGCGAGAGTCCTTCAGCAGCTCGTCGGAGCTGTCCAGCAGCCACGGCCCGGGGTTTGCAAGTCTTAATCGCAGAGATGGTGAGTCCGATACCGTCTTGTTGTTAATCCATCATGATTCTTTCTCAGAGAGAACAACGATCATTCTTACTTAATATTCATTCTCATGGTTCAAAAAGTAATTGTATTGCAGTTTAATGAAGATGAAGCAGCAGGTTCAACATTTTATCATTTGCTAGCTTCCTTCGTCTTTAGTATTCATCTTTTTTGTTTGTTCTGACATTTCCCTTGCCTGTTGATGGCCTGCAAATGATCATAAATGAGATGCAAATCAGAAGGGAATTATTGGAGGCTCTGGAATATTTCCTATTTTATCATCCTTTTTTAGTTTTAGAGCACTCTATGGATGGGTGACTAGTCAAGTACGCTTATCGTGGGTAACTAAAACAACAAACGAACGAGCCAACATCACGGGCACTGGGGAACACCAGCAAGCCACTGGCTGGCATCAGTGAAATGTGAAGCTGCCCACAGGATAGTGATGGGGAGAGAGCTCCATCCCAGGACCTGGCCTGGGAGGAGCCTGGGCAAAGGCTCTTGTTGAAAATAGATTCTCTTCATATCCGTGGGAAGAGAGCTTACTTTTTGAAGAGGTATTCATTCATTCTTGCTCCTTGAGTGTCATGGACTAAGTTACTTTCCCTTTTGCACGAATAATAGTTCAGCAGATTGAATAAGCTAATACATACGCTGAAAACTCAAATGTTTTACTGCCTTTGAAAGGGATGGATTAACTCTTTTGGTGAATGATTCATTCAGAAAGTAAAATTTTAAATTGACTGTGTCCCATGTAAATGTAAATTCTGAAGATATTACTATGGAATGGAGCATTTTCCTCCCTTAATTTGGTATTTCTAAGATTACAGTTTAAGTATAGCTTGAGTTTTATTGTGTCCTCAAAAATCAAATGCGGGAACCCCACAAATGATCAAATAGACTGGTAGGGCAGAGTAAGGACACAGTGAAGGATTTTGGTGAGTATAGGTGGCGAGAGCATGCCCACTGATGACCACCTTCATGGCCTTTTACTATGAAGAAGCACTTCTGGCCAGATAATTACTCCTCCAGATATTTCCGAAGCATCAGTCATGATAACTTTCAGTACTTCAGTGAATATATCTTCTCATTGAAGCCAGTTTTCAATTAATAATTAAATGATCAAATTTACTATTTTTGGTCTGGTGGTTACTCTAATACCAGCTTAACATCTAAACTTTCCAGTGGTTGCCCAAAGACTGTGAAAACTAAATAAGCACCATACTTAATTAGTTTAAAGGATCCAAAGGGGCCTGTGTATTGTGTTTCTGATTTGCATACACAGAATATCTTTATGATTCAGGCCTCTGGTCCTGTCAGCGTGGTGGCACTGGAAAGTTTATAAGCATCGGAAGGGAAAATCCCAATGTTTAAGATGAATTTATTTCCATTACATTTAATTAAAAAATAAATAACTTAGAATATGAAAAGCAGCCATTGTAAAATGGTAAGTATAAAATGTGTTTACTATATTCAGATCTCTCTTTGCAGATTTAAATTAATTTTTTTAAGAGCATGGCAATCAGGGGCACCTGGGTGGCTCCGTCTTTAAGCGTCTGCCTCCGGCTCAGATCATGATCCTAGGGTCCTGGGATCGAGCCCCACATCGGGCTCCCTGCTTGGTGGGAGGCCTGCTTCTCCCTCTCCCTCTCCCCCTGCTTGTGTTCCCTCTCTCGCTGTGTCTCTCTCTGTCAAATAAATAAATAAAATCTTAAAAAAATAAAAAAGAGCGTGGCAATCAACTGACGAGGTTCTTTCTTGTGGTTGTTGCTACTCTGATTGTGTACAATACACATTTCACTAAATATTCCTTCATTTTACCATCTGATTTCATACCCATTCCTAAAGCAAGATTCAGACAGCACAGTTTATCAGTATTCCTTCTGAAGGATTATCTATGAATATTTTCTCTTAAAAGCCAGCATCCCAGGGGCGCCTGGGTGGCTCAGTGGGTTGAGCATCTGCCTTCGGCTCAGGTCATGATCCCGGGGTCCTGGGATCGAGCCCCGCATCGGGCTCCCTGCTCAGAGGAGAGCCTGCTTCTCCTTCTGCCCCTCACCCCGCTTGTGTGCTCTCTCCCTTTCTCTCAAATAAATAAATAAAATCTTAAAAAAAATAAAAGCCAGCATTCCAGATTCTTTCCTGATATTTCTTTTGCCTTTGTAAATGCTGGAGAACAGATTAGTTCATTTCAGTTTAGGATATTATGATGTAAAATGTGGATTGTATAAAATGTGGATGATTATAATAATGATGATGATTCTTCATATGTAGTAGTTTTAGCTTTTTTGAAAATTCAGTGCATGACCTGGTGATGGAAATCATGTTAGACTACCTGATTATATGGTTAAAATATCCTTGGTCTATGTTATGGTACCTGGAGGTTGTAAAGAAGGTGGTCTGTCTTACCTCCCTAGTTTCTTATTTTGCCCAGCAGTGTTTGAGCTTTCAAATATTTTTATGGAAAAATAGAAATATCTGAACTATCATGGCTCCTGCCAGGGATTTTATATGTAGCTGATCACTGCATCTACCTGATGTATAGGGTAGTAAGAGAATAGTCAGTACATAATTTTATTTTATTTTTATTATTTTTAAAGATTTTATTTACTTAATTTAGAGAGAGAGAGAGAGAGAATGCGAGTGAGGGGAGGAGCAGAGGGAGAGGGACTAGCAGACTCCACGCTGAGTACAAAGCCCAACACGGGGCTCCATGTCACGCCCCTGGGATCATGACTTGAGCGGAGATCAACAACTGAGAATTTATTTAGGAATAAAGGCTGTGATTCAAATAACTTCCCTAAGGAAAGACAAAAACACTTAATCTTTACATTGATTTTCCCTCCAGTCACGTTCAACTGCATTGCCCCTTCTAGGAATTTCCTTTTTTTTCTGCCCAGGATTCCTGGCAAATGAGGTACCAGCTAAGGTGACCTTCATGTCTGCCAAAGTGGTAAGGTCCAGTTAGCAATCGTTGACGAGGCACCTGGGATTCCCTACTGGTACATAGGAGCCATATTGAAATCAACACAGGAGTCCTGAACCGCATGTTTCATGTGTGACCCAGGAAGACCATAGCCAGGGACGAAGGCTACTGGCTCCTCTCCGTGGGCCCTGTGGTCACCTGCTCTGCTACCATGAACGTGGAGGGAGACCTGCCTGGACTAGGGGCTGATGGGAGGTGGTGGAGTGGGCTTTGCTCTGACACATTCAAGTGCAATCCCTTGAATGCCCCCACCCCGAGTGCTGCTCGTCAGCAGCATGCACATTTTGCCAGGCTCAAGCCTCACCCTTTTTGCGTTCATTATGATATTCTATTTTGTATAGCAGGTAATTGGTACGCGACTCTTTTCATCGGAGGCTCTCACGGCGTGCTTACAAATTGTTATGAATTAAGCCGTACAACATCCTTAAAGAAAATGCAAGTTTTAGCATCAGTGGATTTTTTTTTTCCAGAGGCATTTGGCTGACAAGCAGTCACAAATGGGTGGATAATTTAGTTGTCATGGTTTTATTTCTGAGCATCTCACCCTTGCATTTCCTGACATGATCCTCCACCATATTTATTTTTTTAAAAAAGGAGACATTGCCTTGAGAGCAAGCAGCGGAGCATCCGTGGGGAGTGCTGGGGGCGGTGGAGCTGACCGTGCTGGCCTGGCCTCCTGGTCTTCCAGGCGGCCTGGACTCCCCACTGGTCTGCACACAGCAGAGGGAGGTGCCGCTGTTCAGACGGGCCTCAAGGATGATCGGATATCCTGTCTGTTCTGCATTAACTCAGGGGGCTGCTGAGATGATGCTTTCATAGAATTAGGACACATCCCAGAGCCGCGCTCCTTGTAAACCTAGAGATTTCACGGGACATGAATAAGCTCAGTCACACATTTTATTCAGTCATAAATGAGGGATTTATGACTTGTTTAGATTCTTATAGGCTTGCTGGGCAATTCTTGTTCTGTTTCTAAGGTGAGAAATTAGCAGAATCATCTTACGGTTTTGTCAGTGCAGAACTTCAAACGAATCAGAGCTGGAGAACCTTGGATCAGCTCAGATCTCAGTGGTTCTCTACTCTATGTTCCTTTAACAAGTGATCAGGAATCGATGTGAGAACAGCAAAACAAAACACACAGGATTGACAGATTTTTGTTTATTTTATGCAGAAAGAGCCGCAGTCGGAATGCTCGGTGCCTAAGGGCACGGCAAGTTGTCCCTGGGGAGGGTGCACACGTGAATGCTTACAGGGTGCTTTCTTTTCCTCAAGATCACTGGCATTTAATACAAACTCAGATTGACCGGTGAACACATATTTTTATTTAACTTCTGAAGGGTCTGTTTACAAGGCCATTTTAGGGTATCTTCACATTGCACAGGAATGTGGTTTACAATTAGACAGCTGCGGCTGACTTTTCCCTTCTGGATGCATTTTGTGGGAAACGTCCTGTGCCCCCGCTCAGGCTGCTAGCAGAGTGCAGGAAGCCACGGGAAGGGAAGCAGAGCACACCTAGGCTAGCCCAGAGGCAGGATTTCTGGGCTTACTCCATCCCGATAGCTAGAAATGCTACCAGGAGGTAGCTGGAATTGCCTCCTAAGGAATCAGAACTGCAGCAAATGCTTTAATCCCCTCAGTAACATGGGCAGGGTCTGACCCAGGCTTCAGCGTGTGCAGCGCGAGGACCTCTGAGTGGGGAGGTCAGGGGGGCACCCACCCACGGAGCCTGTCTGCCTGCCGGGCCCCCTTTCCTGGGGATGTCGGTCATCTCCCTGGGGAAGGCAGCAAGGGGTTCCTGCTTCTCTCCTGCTCTTCCCTCGCATGCTGGGCCCCGCCTGGAACTTGGAGTAAATCTTCTGTGGACTGAGATGCGTGTAAGTGAGGAAAGAGCACCCATCGCTGGCTGAGATCCCATTTGGGACAATGGAGTAATGATCGTGGGGAGAGACTTCCCTTGGCAACAATTGCAGTTTAGCCATTTATCTGCTCTGCATATAGATGCCCTGAGGATGGGTAGGTCTGTTCACTTCAAATTAACCCACTTGACTTTTGTTTCCATGGATATCTTTTTTTTTTTTTTCCAAATTCAAGTTAGTTAACATATAGGGTAGTATTAGTTTCAGCGGTAGAATTTAGTGATTCATCAGTTGCATACAATATCCTGTGCTCATTCCATCCTGTGCCCTCCTTAATGCCCATCTCCCAGTGACCCCATCCCCTCACCACCCTCCCCTCCAGCAACCCTCAGTTAGTTCCCTAGAGTTAAGAGTCTCTCACAGTTTGCTGCTCTTGTATTTGTTGAAGGTTGAAGAAGGCATAAGCTTTGGCTTTTCTCCCCCAGGTAATGTTCTTCTCTGTGTAAAGCCAACAGTTTGTGAGAGCGCAAGCCCTGTGACCACCAGGAGCCGTGGTCACTGTCATCGTGATCAGTGGGCAGAGTAATTGAGGCCCCGCTGAGAGTTTCCCATTCAACCTTTCCTCTCCCCGAGGACTCGTCCCTGCCTGTGTCTGAGCCAACCAAAGGCAGGGGAAGCAGTCACACAGGATTAACTAGAAACAGAAACCTTGCGACAGATCGATATAAAATACAGTCTGGGGGCGCCTGGGTGGCTCAGTTGGTTGAGCGACTGCCTTCGGCTCAGGTCATGATCCTGGAGTCCCGGGATCGAGTCCCGCATCGGGCTCCCTGCTCGGCGGGGAGTCTGCTTCTCCCTCTGACCCTCCTCCGTCTCGTGCTCTCTCTCTCTTAAATAAATAAAATCATGGGGCGCCTGGGTGGCTCAGTCGGTTAGGCGACTGCCTTCGGCTCAGGTCATGATCCTGGAGTCCCGGGATCGAGTCCCGCATCGGGCTCCCTGCTCGGCGGGGAGTCTGCTTCTCCCTCTGACCCTCCCCCCTCTCATGTGCTCTGTCTCATTCTCTCTCTCTCAAATAAATAAGTAAAATCTTTAAAAAAAATACAGTCTGGTTGGTGGTCAGCAAACAATACTGGGTAACTGATAAACTGCACGGTCTTACCTCTATCTGGTGCGAAGTGGCAGGCAACAGACCCTTCAGTAATAAGGTGACTGGAAAGCTCAGCGCCTGGGCTGTGGCCCCTCATTCACCTAGAAGCCACGGTGGTGACAGCCCCTTGTCTTCAGTGCACGGCAACCGATGGGAGAGAAAACACTGGGTGCTTAACACATCCTCCCGCCGCATCCTCCTTACAGCACCAACGCACCACATTTTCCCAAGGAGTGAGAAGGATGTTTCGTGTGGGGTGGCCTCCCAGGCACTGGGACTTTGTTCTGTGCAAGTGGGCCCCCCTTGGATAGATTTTCCTTTGTACACATTTTGACACTTTATTCAGGAAGTGGCGGAGGTTGGAGAGAGGCAGGTGGTGGTGGGAACGCACAGTCCGCAGTGCACACGGGAGGGAATGCCCAGCAGCCCACATCAGCACCCCGCAGCGATCTGGGGATTGCGGGACCGTGTTATCCCGCTAAAGCGAATCGCCCCCTGGCATAGGGGATTCCGATGTTCCATCCCTTGATCACAGCCTCTAGGTAATCAAAGAGCTTAATTTGCACACCAGTAGCACCTCCTCACTGCAGGTAAGGAATAGGAGATGCTCAGGGTCTTAGCTGCACGTGTGGAAGCCTGATTGGCAGGTGGGCTGCTGCACCCGTGGGAGAGACCGGTCCCGAGGCAACATGCTGGAGACACCATGATGTGTTTACTGAACTGTGCTTCTCCACGCGGGTGATGCCATGCGGATGATACTTCCTGGCTTCAAGAGAGATTAAAATTGACAGGGAAGGATGGCGAAATGCGGGCAAGTGTATCATCAGTACTTCTACAGAACTTTACTACCAACTAGGATGAGCTAGGATACAGGACTTTGAGTAGTTCCTCGGAGATTTGAACTGATCCATAGAGAATTTCAAACGTGGAATCTCCACGTTAAAACGATCAGCTAAATGCCAACGCCTAATTTTTAAGTTTATTTTTGTGACTATTATAAAATCACACCCAGCTGCAGAGTAATGTCCCTCGGACTGTTAGTTAGCTCTCCGAGAGAATACAGAAAGACTTCCATTTATCAACTGTTAGTGGGACCCTCGGACAAAACAGTGGAACCAATCCAGTCATGAGAGGCGAGGAAAGACTGCAAAACTGTCATGGGTTGGGGGACACAGAGGAGACTCAATGTCAAAACAGGATCCTGGGGCAGAAAAATGGAGTTAGTGGGAACACTGGGGAAATCAAAATAAAGTCTATTATTTCATTAATATCGTACCCGTGTAAATATCTTAGTCTTGATACAAGTCCCACGATGACGTAAGATCTTAACTGTGAGGGAAACTGGGTACAAAGTAGACAGGACTCCCCTATATCATGTTTGCAGCTCTTCAAAATACAAAGTTTAAAAATGCATTACAGAACAACCAAAACTGCAGCATATTTGGGCTTCTGGGTCCAAGGAAAAGGCATTGGGCTTGCGGTAGAGTTGAGAGGAAAATTTGGAATATTTGAACAAAGATTTAGTGTGGGAAACCAGGGTAGAAAGAAATGAGAAAGAATCTGGGTTCTAGAGAACTTGTGAGCTTTAGACTTTACTGAAGCTCGTGCATGTACACGTTGTGCGACTAATGGAGGACGTGGTGAAGAAATGTACGTGCCCACCTCCTGGGGACTCCCCGCACCCTGATGCAAGTGCCCCACTTCCGTTTCCCTCCCAGCCATCCTGTAACCGTGTCACACACCTCCTGACATACTCTCAGCCCTACTGGCGTTAGCAAACCGAATGTGGGTGTCAGTAAGAGCTCCTCACAAGAAGACGCTCAATGTCGATCAAGTCTAATGCATTTGACGATCTGATGCATAGACGATCAAGTCTAATGCATTCGACCTCATTATGGGAACCTCAAGTGCGGTGCCAGACAGTGCCAGAAAAATTGTTTTAAAGATTCCTTTTGTCATATTAGGCATTGTTTACATTACTCGTGTTTTCTAGACACAGATAATTAGCAAAACACCGGTTCCAGAAGGTGCTTCAAGCTTATTTTCCAATTTTTTATTGCTTATTAATTTAAAATCAGAAAAGTCAATGTGACATCTAAATCCAAATTCAAAACTCATGTTTCTGTGACAGCAGAAGAACAAAATATGTCAACAGCACATCCTCGGGGAGCTCTAACTTTTCTGTTTCTCATCTGTTTCTCACTGGACCAAAGAAAGCATCATGATTTCTGCTCTGCGGCTGTTCTCTCCAATACCTGAGAACGTCCTTCTTATTCACTCGCTCAGGGTTCTCCCTCAGCCTCCCTGCGGCCTCTCAGAGCTCTCCCTCCCTGCACAGAAAAACCTTCACCTCCGTCCCTGCCACGCTGCGTTTCAGATCGTTCTTTGAAATGCCTGTTTCTTGCATGAATCTGTAAGCATATCGAGTGTACGGTTTGGCCATCACCACTGTTCTTATCCCAACATTCACTACGGTACTTTCTCGTGTTCGGATTCCAGAAATAGGCTTTTTTAGTTCTACCATGGTCTGAATATTTTCCTTTAGGTCCAGCCAAAGGTAAGTCATACATACAGGCCAGTAAAGACACTAGTTTTAAGCTGATATTGCCACATGGTGGGAAGCATGGTGTGTAGTTGTCCACCTGTTGCGTGGGACCCGGGGACAGCAGAGTCAGGGGTTATGAGCTAAAAACCAAAGCAATTAATGATGAATGTAGGATTCATCTGTTTACTTAACCCGTGGTTTTGAGTGCATGTGTGTGTGTGTGTGTGTGTGTGTAATCATGGGGGGTTATATGTTCTAGAATTTGGAACTATGATTTTCATAAATTTTATTTATGATCCCATTCTTACAGGATAATGTAGCTCTTAAAGAATTCTTTCCCTTTACTATTTTTTCCTGTTTCTATTTCCACTCAAAGGGGCTGGTGGCTGGTCTCCACTTGTGTCAGATAAATACCAGTGGCTGCAGATTGACCTTGGAGAGAGAATGGAGGTCACAGCTGTGGCCACCCAGGGAGGGTATGGGAGCTCTGACTGGGTGACCAGCTACGTCCTCATGTTCAGTGACGGCGGGAGGAACTGGAAGCAGTATCGACGGGAAGAAAGCATCTCGGTATGTTCCTTCACTGAGAGACCTTTGTCAGAGTATGAATTACACCAATTACTCCATGTTGCTGCAAATCTGTCAGATCAAATATAGAGATGGAGTCTCCTAAAGTACTTGAAAATGTTTTCAAGTGAATATAAGACACGTGTGGCATTTTAAAATACAATGCCCATGTTCAATTTATGAAATAAGTAAAAGTAAAACAATTCTGTACTGTAGTGAAATATGGAAAAACGTCTTCCCATTATTCCTTAACATAGTGTGAAATCGAAGGAATGAAGTCACATACAACCTACGGTATTTTTTGTTCCATAATCCAGTAGCTGATATCACCTTGCTGTTGTTCAGTTAAGGAAATTCATTCTTCTGAGTCCTCTTGATTAAGTGAGATTTCTGAAGGACCCCAAACATTTAAAAATACACGTAATGGGCAGTCTCCCTATGGATGATGGCGTGTTGAGGGACAAAGGTCCAGCTCCAGCAGGAACTTGGGCACTTGTGTGGCCCCTTGTAATTCATGGGGGCTAGATCTCTGGGATTCTTTGGAATCATAACTATATTAAATTATCTTACACCGCTGATGTAGTTTCTGCTTCTGATGACATACCCTTGCTTCTTTGAGAAGAATTAAATTTTGCTTGCCTGACTTTTTGAATATTAAAATATATGAAGTTTATTACATATTCAGCATTTGGAGTCTTCAAATCATAGTCTGCCCTGAAGGAGGAGCTCTGAGAGTAGAGTGTGGTAAACATCGGCCTCGTTTGCAGTTGGTTGATGGGGCAACGGATGGAGGGGTGTGGCCTGAAGAAGATTTGTCAGGTGGGGAAGGAATTACTTTCTTCTTATTATTAAAAAACACTTGGGGCACCTGGGTGGCTCAGGCGGTTGAGCTTCTGACTCTTGGTTTCAGCTCAGGTCATGATCTCAGGGTCCTGGGATCGAGCCCCGCATCGGGCTCTGCGTTCAGTGGGGAGTCTGCTTGAGATTCTCTCTCTCCCTCTCCCTCTGGTTCCCCCTCTTCCCCACCCACACGCACTCTCTCTCATGAATAAATAAATCTTTAAAAAAATACACTTTAACTGCTTGCCAGGGGCTTGGGGAAGGGAGGAATGGAGAATTACTGTTGAATGGGGACAGAGTTTCAGTTTAGAAGATGAGAAAGTTCTGGAGATGCATGGTGGTGATGGTTGCCCAGCAGTGTGATTGTTAATGGTATACAACAGCATGCTTACAAGTGGCCAAAGTGGTAAATTTTATATTATGAGTATTTACTCACAATAAAAAATATACAGTTTAGGGGCGCCTGGGTGGCTCAGTTGGTTGAGCGACTGCCTTCAGCTCAGGTCATGATTCCAGGTCCTGGGATCGAGTCCCGCATCGGGCTCCCTGCTTGGCGGGGAGCCTGCTTCTCTCTCTCCCACTCCCCCTGCTTGTGTTCCCTCTCTCGCTGTCTCTGTCAAATAAATAAATAAAATCTTTAAAAAAAAAATATACAGTTTAGCTTCCATTTAATTTAGGCTAAGGATATTATGTAACTCTTAAAAAATTTTCTTGTCATGGTAAGAGGAAAAGTAGCAGGGAAAAAGCTATTACTTGTTAGCTCGTAGCTTATCTGTAACACTAACAAGCAACAAAATTTTAATACTCGTTGGGTAACAAATTGGCCTCATTTGAACTTCTTTAGAACTCTGTTACTTAGTATAACTTCATAGATTATGGTCTATTTAATTTTTTATCTCTGGACCTCTTTATAGTTCATCAATAAATGTTGATTTAAATTGAATTTAGAAGTAGTCAGTTGTCTAATATTAGGTAAAAGAACAAAATAGGAGAGAATTTGTGCTTGGGGGGCTGGCTGACTTAAATACCCTAAACATGCATTTGCCAAATGTGTGATCAGAAGTAGATACTGATGCTGAGCTGATTCTAAGAACACCAGGTCTAAACCAGGGTTAAGGTCAACATTAATTAAGAATGAAGAACAGTTAAAGCTTAATGAAGCATCAATTTATATGGAGAACTTTTGTTTCAAATTAAGTCTTGTTTTTTCGAAATCAGGTGTTAATGCATGCTTATTCTTAGTTGTATTAATCAAGGTTCATATTTTTACCCCCGTCCCACCCCAATACATGGTTGCAAAATTGTGACAATTCCTGTTTTTCAGCTTAGCAGCTTGGGGTGAACCATATCCAAGCACCACCGTCTGGCACCTTGTTTAAAGGAGCCCAGGGGAAGTAAGGGTCAAGAATAGTGGCATTATTGATCCTAGACCACGCAGGTGAGGACGTATGCTTGAACCCAACAGTCCTACCGGCCATTACTCAGTCAAGACTGGTGTCCCACACCTGGGGAGCTCACTTACAGAGACCCACCTTCTCCCTCTGTGTCCTGAGCACTTCACGGTGCATGGGCCTGAGCAGAAAGTTGGTAAATGTTTACTAGATGAATGCATGAGTGGAATCTACCTTTTGGCAGGACGCTTCTCTTGAACTCCCTGCTCTGCCTGGCTTTGAAGCCCTTTGTCTCAGCTCAGGGGTTCTTGAAGTTCCAGTGCGGGCATTCCTTCTGCATTTTGATCTCCTCTAGGAAAGGGACTCATCCTTGCATTTCCTTCAGCCATCACCACAGCTTAAGTGAATTAATCTCTCTGCCCCTGACTCCGTGTGTGGCTGACTCTGACCACAGTGAGTAGCACTAGTTGATAATTGTGCGATTATACCTACAGCTTCTTGAAGAAGATCAGGCTGATTTGGCTGCTCTCTGGCCCCTCTCACACAGAGTACCTGCTCTTAATCCTAAAGCACAGACCCTCCCAGAGGCTCTACCCATTCTTCAGGTGCTTGTTTTTAATCTATGGATTGCTGCCATTAATTTGAGAGTGAATTTCATATAACACCCAGTGCTCTATGTGATACGTGCCCTCCTTAATACCCATCACCAGGCTAACCCAACCCCCCACCCCCCTCCCCTCTAAAACCCTCAGTTTGTTTCTCAAAGTCCTTAGTCTCTCATGGTTCATCTCTCCCTCTGATTTCCCCCCTTCATTTTTCCCTTTCTTCTCCTGATGTCCTCCATGCTATTCCTTATGTTTCACAAATAAGTGAAACCATATGATAATTGACTTTCTCTGCTTGACTTATTTCAGAGTGAATTTAAGATTCTAAAAAATTTCCTTGAAATATTTACACTCTTTATTAGCAAAAGTATTATTGTCATTTTCTTAGTTTTGTGCTACTACTCTAAAACATTACCAGGCACTTGGTGGCCCAACACAAGACAGAGCCATTACGTAGGTCTGAGGTCCACTATACCTGGCTGGGTCCTCTGGGTAAGGTGTTGGCAGAGCTGCATTTTTTTCTCCTCCAAGGTGTCTGGAGATCCCCAGGATCTCCAGGTTCTGTGATCCACTAAGGGGACTCACAGGACCAGTGTGTAGTCATAAAACTATGATTTATACAGGATAAAAAGCAAAATGAGTAAAGGAAAAAGGTGCATGCGGTGAAGTCCATAGGAAACCAGGATAAACTTCCATGAGTCCTCTCCAAGTGGGGACACATGGAATGTGCTGAATTCCCTCCAAAACAAGTTATAGTAATCCATGTGAGGTGTTGTCAACCAGGGAGGAGGCTCATTAGAGACTCAACATCCAGGGTATTTACCGGGGGCTGGTCACATAGGCACCCTCCTTGCAAGACCCCTTGGAAGATGGGTATTGAGTATAAACTGCACTGTTTGCACAAACATTAGGCACAGTGAGCCACTGTCATTATTAGGGTCTTGGGAGTGGGCCAGCCTTGAGATCTGAATCAGTCTAGGTGATTTGGGAGTCCAACCACACTGTGAAGAGGATGATTCAAGTGGTCTCTGGCTCAGCTGTACCCAAGAGGGAGCCCTGCCCCCGCCTCCCCTCCACCTTCCATGGGTTAGCTACTGGCATGTATTTCCCTGTATAGAAGGATGGGTTCAGAAGTCTGGGGAAGCAATCTGACTTGCCTGGCTCCGGCTGAGGGACCATCTGAAAACTCACATCTGTGGTTGTTGGAAGAGTCCACGTCACCAGGTGGCTCCCTCTGCCCCACCCTAGGCACTGAAGCTCCTGAGCTCTGGGTGGAGCCATGTAAGGACCTAGTGGCCACCCTAATGGGCTGGCATGGGCTTAGAAGGGAGGGATGCTGGGAGGGCCATATTTTCAAATTTCCTATTCTTCATCTCTCTTTATGATCCTTTGCTTTCTTTTATATTTCTCTGCTTTCCTCTGCCTGTACATCACATCTTTCTACTCCTATCCTCCCCTTCTCTATAAGAGAGAGGACATGGATTATCATGGGCCCTACAACTCAACAGGTGGCCCACAGTCCATCAGCATCACCTGGGATCTTGACAGAAATATGGAATTTCAGCCCCCATCCTGGCCTACTGGATCCAGATCTGCATTTTAACAAGATTCCCAGAGGATCCCAGAAGTGCTGACTGAAATAACCCAAGTCCCATCTGTGGGAGAGATTGTTCTGTTCCTTAACTAACCTTACCTGCCTGGATCACAGGAGATCACGCCTCTCCTGGAGGACACAGCTTATCCCATGCACATGTTACCCTGAGCACATGATCCTTCCTGTAATGGGACCTTAGGAACCTCACTCCATTGTCCTTTGGCTGCAGAACACCCTCTTTCTCCCCAGTAGCCGCTAACCTAGTAGAACAAAGCCCAGAGTGTCTTCTCGTTGCTTTTATCAATAACAACCAAATGCTTAAAGTTAGTACCATCTTTGAGAACTGTATTATTTCCTGGATCTGTACATTTTGCATTAATTAGTGTTTTATTCTTTCCATTATAAACTCATCAGAACTCAAATTCAAACACTGTATCTTTTAGGAATTCAAGATGGGGCTGTTACTCAGAACGCACTGACAACTTAGAATTTAAGTGGATTTTTCTTCCTATGCAGGATGTTTGTGTGAGAAAGGCATTCGTCTAAGAACGGACTGATAAAATGTATTTGAAAAAAAAAAAAAACAAGAAAAGAAATTATTTGAAGTAAACATAGGATTGAGTATAAATAATTCTATTGAATAAATTTCTTTTGCCTTGAAAAAATGTGTTATCAGTAGGTCCTCGGGTGAAAATAAAAGAGAAATAGCAAACCATTTGAAACTTTATTCTACTTTGGATAATTTACAGCCTAAACCAAGTAGAAAATGTCGACTAATTAGTGAAGCTAATTACTATTGTATTGAAAGACACAACAACCTTATAGTGCTCTACAAGAGCAACAAAGATGACTCCAAAGATTTAAGGTAGAAGAAATGACAAGAAAATATTGGAAACAAGACAGATGGAATGGGGGGGGTGTTTGTTACGTCTGCAGTGGTTTATTTATTTGAGAGAAGGAGCTGATGCACCTGTAGCAAAATATTCGCCTTGTTAAATCCAGATCACAGGTACATGTGTGTTTGCTTTTTAAGATATGTTTGAAATGTGGCATAACCAAAAAAAACCCCAAATATTGAATTCAGGTTTAAAAGACCCATGGTTACTTGGTATAAATAGAAAAATCATGAGACCCATACATGATTTCAAAATAAAGAGGGATAAGAACCGTGTCCAATCATGATAAGAACAACTTGAATCAGAAATAAGGAAGAGTGTTTGTGTGCAAGGAAGTAGGCACTCTGCTAAGTAGGAAGCTTTGCTGGGAGCTGAAGTGGAAATTCACCTGACACAGATTCTTTTAGTTCAGTCATTTAAATCGTGTTGGTTTATTTCAGGTCTAGGTGCCTACATTTATTATTGAGTAGACAACCCAACAGAGCCAAGCCCCACCTCACATGGGGGGTTGCAGAAAGGGTCTGTAGGGTCTGCGAGGTCAGACATGGGGCTTATGCCAATGGCAGGCTCACCAGTTCCAAGTTCAGCTCTGAGACCGATTGGTTTATAGCAGAACGGGAGCGACACTTCGACGATTCTGTTGTCAGTCACTTCTGTGTACTCAGCCTTGTTGGGGACATGGGTGTCTCCCTCTTAACCATCCAGCTCATCACACACAGCATATTGATCACAGCGACTCTGTACCATACTTCATTGATGGCGCTTACCATTGTGGACCACGACTGGATTTTCCATACGTGTCTTCCCTTCCTGGGCTCTGAGAGCCATTAGGTCAGCAAGTGATCTCCCCGGAGGCCCAGGGCTATTACGGTTTCTCAATAAAGGGCTGTTGGATTGAATTAAGGGAAAGCTGTTCTCAGACCTCAACCAGATGGGTAGTTAAGGATATGGAAACCTTAGCCAACCATGGGATGCTGTTTATGCAGTGGGAGGCTTTTGGTGCCAAATCTGAGAGTGAGAAGAAGTTTAACACTGTTTCCCCACAAAGCTGTACAGGGATGATGCCCTATTGAGCCTAAGGTGGTCCCATGTGCCTTTAACTGCAGGTCTCAGTGACAATAGAGATAAATGCTGGATTCCATCCATGGAAAACTCGGAGCACCTGGAAAGGTTGAGGCAGAGAAGTACATGAGCCATCTGAGCTGCAACCACAAAGTAACCAGGGGCTCCCCAGAGGCAGGGTGTCCTGTAACAACTGCTTTTGTCAGTGCTCCCTGCTTTATGTGCAGAACTAACTTCCTTCCTTCCTT